GATGTTGGCCCTAATTGTTTGATACACACTGATTTTGATGATGTGATGTTTTGGTTAGGTTAGGTCGGTCAAGCTACAGCTGATGATGATTTATGCATCCAAATGTGTAGAGAGAGTGTAATTATCGGTTCTCCTGTGATATCCTACCAAAATTAAACAACATTGTTTCTAGAAATGTATATGGTGGTATCATCTATGGTGGCTGCAGATCGATACTGCTGATTAACTTGTGGGTTATTGATTTTGTGCGGGCAGATTTCTCTCAACACGTGATTACTGGTAGGGTTTTTGCAGATTTTGTACATGGTACAGATCAACACTAGTAAGTGCTATAAATATATCTACTAACTCTGTCCTAAAAGATAACTACTATTTTCATTCTAAAATATAAAAAATTTTAGGCTTAGACACGGTATTAAGGTTATGTTTGTTTGTTTTTAAGGAGATTTTTAGCCGCACGTGAAACTAGAAAGTTCATTAATTAAAACACAATTAATTAAGTATTAACTAATATAAACTTAAAAAGATTTATTTGATTTAAGAAAATAAAAAAATATCATTTAACAGTTTAAAAAGATTTCTAACGGAAAACGACGAAGTTATAGTTGGAGTACCGGAGAAAAGAACAGACCCTATGGAGGTGGGAAATTGAATAGTGGATAGTTGTAATTAGTTAAGAAAAATAGGTAGAGAAATTAAATAGGAGAAGATATGTTGTGCTTAGTTAAGAAGAGAATGTAGGTGGAGAAGTTGTTATATTTTGAGACAAATTTGAAATGCTAAAGTTATGGTATTTTAGGACAAATGGAGTAAGATATATTCCAAAAGGCAGTATGAAGAATGTCTCTGAAGAACCTAACCAGTAACCATTGCTTGGCTGACAAATTTCCAACCATGTTCGCTCTCTGCTGACTGCAGATGGTATGTAGGATGGTGACATCATCTATCAGATGTTACTTCCTCAGGTTGTCCATTTCACATTTTCACAATTTCACTCACCTAGGACTCTTTCAATTTGTTTCTCCCCTTTATTTTTCTTGGAGATGCTGATCGCCTAGGATTGCTAACTTGTCCTATGGGCAATATTTGCCACCAATATGGAGACGAGGAGGAGAACTATTCTTGATGCTGTAATATAATTCTGTGTAGCCATTTACCAGCATTCCTCTGATCCTCTCTTGCTTATTCTGTTGAGGATTCCCTTATCTTATAAGCATATATTGGGTGCTTATCGTCCGATGCATCACATGGTCAGAATATTATGAGCACATCCACAGAACAAATTATTAATTTTGGATTAGGTATGATCCATAGATTTTTATCTTGAAAAATGATTGGTAAAGGCCAGTTAATTTTCTTGATTGCTGGCCATGCATATGAGAGGAGTAACAAAAATTTTGAATTGTACCTTCCTTGTGTTGGAGGATATTTGGTTAGGATTAATTCAGTCTCCCGGCGGCTGGTGAGATTGTTTCTTCGTTTTTCGCTCAATGCTTCCCATCGGTACCGTTCCTTATATAAATCGTGTGGTTGATTTGGTATAGACTTGTCCATATAGTGCTATTAAATTTTAAATAACCAGATGTCCCTGCTCTACATGAAAGTAACAAGGTAACAGAAAAAATGAGCTGGATAAATTACTAACCATATTAATTAAGTGTAATTAACTCCGTCTCCATTCTAACATAAGTAAACCATGGGTTTATCTTAAGCCAAATTATTCTAAGTTTGACCAAATTTACTAGAGCAAGTATTAACACATCTGCCACATGCGTACACTATATATGAAAGTATATTTTATAATGGCTCAAATGATGCTCATTTGACATCACGAATATTAATATTCTTTATATATATTGGGTTAGAATGGCGATAGTTTGACTTCGAATAAACATAGGAACCCTTATATTTCAAGACCAGGGGAGTACATGTTTGACCAAAGGGTCAACGTACAATACATGTATAATTAATCCTAGTAAAGAAAAGTTGCCATGATGGTCCACTTTAACATGTGGCATGGCATGATGGTAAATGGATTTATGGATATCAGTAATCTGTCGGCAAAGATAATCTGCCAGGGGAAGATGTTGATCTCTGTCAGCAGAAGTGGTACTGGAGACAGATTGAGAGATTACAAATTAATATATGCATTAGATGTTGGTAAAACTTTCGGCGACTACGACAGCCCAGGTAGATCAAAGATATATTGGCAAAGGAAATTAGGACAATCCTAGCTAACATGGTGCATATGACCTTGGCCTTTCTGAAACATCACCTATCAATCTTACCCTTTCGTAAGACTATGGGACCAAAGTGGCTAGCTATTAACAGGAATAGAACTATATATTCAAGCCAACTCACAAAAACGATCTTGTTATCAGCTCCTTCCTCCGTTCCCCAGTATAAACATTCTAGGTTGTCTAGTATACATTAAGTTTTGAGAAGAAAAGACTATAATGTGAGGGGTGGTTGGGGTTAGTGTTATGCAACTTCGGTTCGAAATTTCCAATCCCACCCCCCACCCCAAAAAAAAAACAAAGAGGAAATATCGCGTTCGATTTTTTTGCACTCTTTGAATTTGGTCAGATTTTATTAAAATTCAGTCAAAAACTGCTAAATTTTTTAATGATTTCATGAAAAAAAAGAACCATCAAAATTCACGAAATTCAGATGACCACCGTTCATAAATATCATTTTTTTACCGAAATTGCAAACACTAGTTGGTGTAAAATAAGGATAAATTTAAACAGGAGATAATTGATGGGATAAGTAGTAATCTAAAAAATGTAAATATTGTGTATAAAATTTGAATCATTGAAATGTTTATATTTAGAGCAGAACAGAGGTGGTAGTTATAAGATAAACTGAAAATTATTAGCAATTGCTTTAACTAGTGATGCAATTAATTCAGTCATCCGTTCTCCAACCCCACTTTAATCCATGAATGCATGGTCATCTGATGATCATGATCCCCTGCATCAAGCCTCAGTTACCACCACATTCCATGGCAGGTTTTCAGGCCACACACAAAACGTTTCAGGGAGGATGAAGATGTCAGATACTTACACGCATTTTCAGCGAGGAGATCAGCTTGAACAAAAGGAAAGCACTAACAGCTTGTTCATGCATGCATGAAAGATTGAAAGCTTACGTTAATTTCCACAAGTCACTCTTAACAAAAAGCCACTTTTAATCCACAACAACATCTTGCAACTACAATAATTAAAAAAAAACAGCTAGTATATATCTCTTGACTTTGTTTGTTTAATTAAAGCCTTGGATTGCATGCAGGTATATCAATCACTCGAATCAATCAGACAATAACCTCTGATTAACTTTTCTCGAGAGTAGTTTAATTGGGTCATGCACGTAATGTATGCTCTTGAGTGTTCTTTCTTTTCATTTTTTCCCCCTTTTTTCCTCGGCAAGTTGCCACGCCTCTGAAACGCACTCATGAGCTGTTCATGTAGAAACTGGCCAATGCTGCGAGGATTCAGGAAAGCTAACTAGTGCGTTACAGGCTAATTGACACTCAAATCCTAACCTTTAATTTCCGTGTTAATTCTGATCATCGAATAGAGCCTTCACCGATCGATGCAGCCTTGGGTGATACACTGCTTGAATTCTGCAGAAAAGAAAAGAAAATGAAAGAAAGCAACTTGGGTAGATAGAAACTGCAATTTGCCGGTATTCTGGAGTCATATTCTTCATCAGATTGCAAAAGAATAATTAAGAAACGCGAGACAAAGGAATATGTGTCGAATGCATCTTAGGTAGTTCCTAGTGGAATCCGTTTCCTATCGAATTTCTGGCCTAGGTTAAAATGGAGACTTATTAGCTTTGAGCGTGCCTGGAATCAATAGGGAAAATATATAAGGTTGGGTGTGGCATATTCTTGGTGGTTTTTCCTATGTTTGCTTCTGAACAATGGGTGTTTTGACAGGGAAAGTAATTTCCTCCCCACTATTATGAGAGTTTTGCACTTTGGTAACATATGAGCAAATTGTCCAGCAATGCTTAAATTGTGTTGGTTTCATAAATGAACATATTGCCACAGCATCAGTCTGTACAATTTCACCCCTCCCACTTCATGTTCATAAAAAACAATCATTCAATTGTTTTGTTCTATGAATTCAATGTCATGTTAGCAATCTGATATTGGTTTCCTTAGCCACTTATCGTGCCCCACTTTTTTTTTTATCAAACACCGTATTTGCAATTAGTAGTTCATAAATTAAAATAGAGAAAGTCCTGTCCACCATCTCTCAATAATATAGGTCGGACGAATGATACCAATGTGGCCAATATTTTAGAGCTTTGACAACTAATATCTGGAGAGATGCACCAAATTGGGATCATGGAAATAAAGCTCTTGACTTTATCACAAAGCAAGCCTTCATGCATAATACAATTTTAATTGTTTTCACATTTAATCTAATTTACTACTTCAAGGATGTATTTTCGACCATAGAATAAATTTACTATTTCACGAGAACTCGTTTTCAGTCATGGATAAGAGGTTATCAACATTACTCCCTATGTTTCATATTATAAATCATCTTGTTTATCCTATGTTCTTAGCGTATTAATTTCATTAAATCGACCATTGAATAGTACTGTTATAGTATATTTGTTTTGTAATAAATATTGCTAATTTTTTTATAAAGTTTGACTTAAAGAAATACTCCAAATAATTTATAATACGAAACGGAGAGAATACTGATCGCCTGGTTTTTGTGCAACTAATATGTGTAAGGTATCAGAGAATAGTATCCGGATATGTTTCAGTATATTTTTTCCGTCAACGGTTGGATGGATGAATAACATTTGAAGTAGTATCATGCAACAAAAAATGCCTTAAAAACTGAATCGCATTACCTCTTTGCTTAAGCTGAGACAAAAAGGAAATTCCATGCTTTTGGAATCCTACTCACATGGGTTCCCAACAAATTACCACTAGCACACACAAATCCAAAACTCTCCCCTATATAAAGGGCACTCGCCAACCTCACATTCGCCATTGCCAACCTCCTCCTCCCTTCCCCCCAATTCGATCGATCGCTCGCTTCGCAGCAGCAGCAGCAGAGCTGGCTAGCGACAAGGTACACGCGAACGGCGACGCCGCCGATGCCGGCGGCGGCGGCGAGGAGGAGGTGGTGGTGAGCAGCAGCAAGGCGGTGGTGGAGGAGCTGTACCGCGCGCTGGAGCGCGGCGACGGGGACGCCGTGCGGCGGCTGCTGAACCCGGACGTGGACTGGTGGTTCCACGGGCCCCGCGCGCACCAGCATCTGGTGCTCATGCGCCTCCTCACCGGCGGCGGCGGCGGCGCGGCGGGGCTCCCGTTCAAGGTCCGCGGCGTGGACGCCTTCGGGGAGACGGTGCTGGCGGAGGGGACGGACGCCACGGGGAAGCTGTACTGGGTGCACGCGTGGACGGTCGGCCCCGGCGGCCGCGTCACCGGCGTCCGCGAGTACTGCAACACCGCGCTCGTCGTCACCAGGCTCGGCGGCGGCGGAGGCGGCAAGGGAGCCGAGGCGGCGGCGCCGTGCTCGAGGTCGCAGTCGGAGCAGTTGTGGCAGAGCAGGCTGCCTGACCGGGCTCGCAAGAACCTCCCTGCCCTCGTCCTCGCCATCTGATCACTCATGGAAACGTGATTAAAGTGATAATTAACTGCGTGGTTAAAAGCTTCGGCATGTGATTAAGTGATTGGCAAAGGTTGTATAATTAACGACCAAATGAGTCACCAAAAAAAAAACGACCAAATGAGTCTAATGATAGTGTTGCACTGTTCCTCGAGATTTTGCTACAGCCAGAAAAAAGTATCACGAGGTACCAGTACCTTAGGATACTAAATCATTTCTAATCATTGAATTTAGCTGGGCAAGGTATACACTGTTAGATCTAACGATCGGAAACGATTTGATACCGTAAGGTATCAGCTACTTTTTATTGGATCCAAGCAAATATCTTTTTGTTTGAAAGAGCAAAGAAGAGAGACATGGAACACAAAATGTTCTTGAGCCTCTCTGTTCATCAATTTCGAGGTTGGATCTTTGAAATGCAATCTTAAGAAATATTGACAGTTTCGAAATTGAATGTTTGAAATGCAATTTGAAGAACAAGCTGAAAGAGAGAGAGAAAAAGGGCAAAAAAATCGACTAGTATATTCGTATCATTTCTGGACTCTGTCGCACGCATTGCTCCTGGCATTATTACTGAACCCGTCGGCATTCTGCTTCCGTCATCAATGGCTGCAGAGGCGGCCTCATTTCCTCAGCCTGAGACTCGCGACCCTGCTGCCTCTGCAGCAACGGCGACTCATCGCCGCCGCCGCCGCTGCCGCGGTGTGGCGAGCCGTTCACCGGCGGCCCGTAGGCCGCGTCCGTGTCCACTGGCACTGCAGCTGCATGATGGAATGCCAGCTTCACCCCGTTCTCCCGCGGCAACGGCTGCAGCAGAGTGGCGTCACCTCGCCCGCCGCCGCCGGAGCTTGAGCTTCCCCCTCCGGCGCCGCCAGCCTCGTCGGCGTCGAGGAGCAGGACGTTCGCCGTCCTCACCTCCTGCGCCAGCGCGCAGCTCCAGCAGAACATCCACCGCAGGTAGTCGGCGAGCGAGGACGGCGAGCCGCAGCACGCGCCGCCGCCGCCGTGCCGCCCGGGGAGGAGCCCGAACCGCCGCCGCATCCGCGCCCGCCAGTAGCCGCCGTAGAGGAGGCCGAGCGCGCAGAGCGCCACCGCCACCGCGCCGACCGCGTCGCCGACGGCCTCGTCTCGGATGTTCATGGCGGCGACGTTGAGCACCCAGAGCGGCGCGAAGCAGAGGAGCGCGAACGTGACGGCGTGCACGTGCTTGTTCCCGAGGCCCATCCGCTCCATGTTCCACCCGAACACGCAGAACGTGCAGAGGCACGACAGCCACCACGCCGTCGGGTCGTCGCCGACGTCGAGCAGCCCGCCGGCCCACTCCGCGACCACGACGTCGGCGGCGGCGGCGGCGGCGAGCTCAAGGTCGTCGGGTTCCTCCTGGTGGCGCGCGCTCGTCGCCGTCCCGGGCTTCCTCCTCCCGAGCGGGCCGAAGTACGCGTACAGGCCCGCGAGCGCCGGCGTCGCGGCGCCGATCACGGCGAGCGAGGTCTCGGCGGCGTCCGGGCGGGCCTTGCGGGAGTAGCCCCAGTAGAGGCCGCACATGGCGTACTGCGCGAAGCAGGCGACGTGGAGGAGCGCGACCACCACGGACATGTGAAGCCGCTCCCACCCCCCTGCGCCGTCTCCGGCGGCGGCGGCCTTCCGGCGGCGGCGGTACGCCTTCCTGAGCGCCTTGACGTCGTCCGGGCGCCACCGGAGGAGCATGGCGGCGTGGTGGAAGAGCGCCGGGTGCTGGTAGATGCTCATGAGGGTGAAGAGCGCGTTGAGCACCTGGTTGTTCACCTCGATCCACCGGTTGCGGGCCGACTTGCGCGGGAACGCGCCGTCGAGGGCGCCGAGGAGGAGGAGCGCGAGCATGGCGCCCGACGCCGCGACGCAGAGCGCCCACGCCAGCAGGGCGAGGTGCGCCGGGTGCCTCAGCCACCGCCCGCACGCGCGCGCCACGGATGCCGGGCTGAGTCGCCTGAGGAGGCGGCGCCCCGACGCCGGCGGCCGGCCACCGGGTCTTGGCTCGCCGCCTTCTTCCTCGGCGACGGGAGGGACGCCATTGTTTCTCTCCCCGAGCTCCAGCTCCACCAGCTCGCCATCAATGGCTTCTGGAGCGCCAGCGCCAGCTGAATCCGCTCTCGCCATGGACAAGAAATGGAATCAACCTACAAGGCTAAGGCGGGAAAGATTTGATGCAGCTGCAATTTGAGATATCAAACATTCAAACTATCTAATCTAATTAATAAAAAGGAAAACCATGTCAGAGAAATGGAAGACACTACTAGAGATCACATATAGCCACGAAATGGGAGAGATCAATCATCTATGGAAGCAACAAAGAGTAACTTGGTCAAGAAATTAATACAGTTTTTTTTTTCCTTCCACAGCCATTGGGACTTTTTCTTGGATACGGAAGTCAAATTAGGAGTCAAAATATAATACTGCTAGTATATCTTTGAAGAAATTAGTTAAATGGCATTTGCTTAGGCCACTTCTGCCTGATCGAATGAGCATTAAGCTCTGAAGAATCCAGTGCTAATTAATAGCCTGCCTTTGATTAACAAGTCTTTCTGGTCTAGCAAAACCGAAGGAGACGACACAATATAACAGTGCCCATATAAGTTGACTGGACCCGCTGCAAAATGGCCAGCATAAGTTGACTTGGAAAAAATACCGCTACTCGGAAAGTTGTGTGTCTTTGTTGAATATGGGGGTTATAGATGGCCAAATGTACCGCACAGCCCAGTCTGCCTGGGCACAACCAGGCATGGCCCGATTGACATACTGTCGGGTTATGTTGTGCCTGCCCACAGGCTGCACCAACAGTTCAGGTATAGCCCAATAAGACTTGGGCCATGTCAGGCCAGCCCCAAGGCACGACAAGTCTATCGTGCTCCTTCTTGGAACAAGTCTAATTTGCCTTCCTCATTTCTTGGGGTCATATCATACATGGTTGAAATAAGTCTATTTTGCCTCTCACATCTATTGGACCGAGCTGTGCCAGACCGGTCCATCGTGTCAAGGAAGAGACTCCGGCATGGCCCAACAATCAGGTTGGGCCGGTATGGGCCCGACAACAGTTGGGCCATACTGTGCTTCGATCGGACCAAATCTCCGTGCCGTAGACCGGGTCGTCGAGCTATGGGTCTTTTGGCCAACTATATCCGTGCTCAGTTTTTTCCTTTTTACCAAAAGGGGAAGTAATCCAAATTAGATTAAAATGATAAAACGGTAGCTTACATAGATTGAAATTAAAAAAAAACGCTCTATCTTTAGATAACTGACTATTTTTTAAATGACTGGCAATGTTGACAATTACTCGATAGCTAAAGAGAAGGTAATGATAAAGTAGTATTAAAAAGATTTAGTGAACCCACTGTAAAAATACGGTTTTTATAAGACATTAGCACAATGCCTGTGCGTTGCAATTATTTTTTTAATTATCTAATATATTATCATTATGATAATTTTGTTGTCATTTTGTAAAGATGAAAAAATCATAATATTGGGATCTATGATATGTAGAGGCTAAAAGATAAGCAACCCACAGTTTTGTGGGTTCCGTATGGTAGTTGGGTGGTGGTGATGGAACATTAATTAGTATAGAAATTTTTCGTCTAAAACAATAGTGTTTTAAGACAAAGGGAGTGTATTCTAATTAAAACTATCTTGGAGAAAATGTCAAAATATCATATCATTGGTATTCGCCAGGAAAATCCGTGGTTATCTTTGCGTTGCAAGTGATTAGAGTTTTCAATTTTTCATGTCTGGGTGACCGGGTCCTGAAATTCTTGGCATGTGTTAGCTAGAGCCCTTTTGGTCAAGTGAACCCTTAACAATATCTACCGGATCAAGGACAAGTATGTATCTCAACCTTTCTTCTTTTTTTTTTTTTGAAAACTGAACCAAGCAGCAACTATGTATGCATCGGCTTCAGTCCAAAGTTTTGCATATCATTAGCTTCAAATAATTAACCAGGACATTAAGAGGATATCAACAAAAGCAGAGGCTCAACCTGACTGACTCAGTTCGTTTCCTTCCCAACTCCCCTTCTCGTTTTCCACGCGCACGCTTTTTAAACTGTTATTTTGGTGCGTTTTTTGCAAAAAAGTTTCTATACGAAAGTTGTTTAAAAAAATTATACTGTTCCATTTTTGAAAAAAAATAGCTAATACTTAATTAATCACGTGCTAATGGATTGCTCCGTTTTCTGTGCGGAGGAGTTTGGTTCCCAACCATCCCAAACGAACACAGTCTAAGTTGCAAAAGGGACTACCTAATTATCTATTGATCTTGCTTTACATTTATAGCTTTAAATCTTGCAGAATTTTCAATCAATGAATATAGCACGTTTTAAATGAAATGAAAAAGAGACAAGCATGTCAAAAACCATAAATCTAGAGAAAAGAACTATTATAAAATCTAATTTTGGTGCTTTATAGTTTGTAATTGAGTATAAGTGCATTTTAAATGAGTATAAGTGCATTCCAATTGAGTATAAGTGCTATATGACTGGGTATAAGTGCATGTTGGATATACAAGCTAGAATACGAATCTTGATGCAAGATACTATGGATGAAAAAGTGAAAAATAGGAGCCCAAAAATCTGTCACAAGTGAAATAGCAAAACTGTTTCCAAAATTTTTGATACATTGTCTGCTAGTTTACAGTTGTAATTGCTGGCGATTGCAATTTGTCCCTATCACAACCTGAAATGGATGCAGAGGAGTTATAATCATTTTAGAACTTAAATGAATATATTAACAATGTGTTTTATGGGAGAGTATATATAGTACTTCCTCCGTTTCAGAATGTAAGTCATTCTAGTATTTCTCACATTCATATTGATAATATATTTAGATTCATTAACATCAACATGAATATAAGAAATGCTAGAATGACTTACATTGTGAAACGGAGAGAGTATATTCTTACTACCGAGCAATATTACCGTGAGTGGAATTAGTGAATGGTTCCAAAGGGAAATTGAGTGATTCAATCCCAACATCTTAAACATTGAACTCTTTTTTTCCCTGAAAGTCTTTTTTTCAAGATAATGGATAGAAATTCGGCCTCTATATTCACAAGTGGATATACATAGACAAATGTTACACGAGTTCTTACACTCTAAATCTCATAACCAAGAAACATAGACAAACGAACAACTGGAAAGAAAAACTAGAATACTAGCACCAAACTTTTTTCCCTGCTTAAAATTTTAAGGAGATGCGAGGCTAGCCCACCCTTCAATTGCCACACCCTCTCACTATTGTTGCATCAACTACAAAAGCTCCTTTGATCCGCCATTGAGTAAAGAAAGAAAGCAAAACTAGTCCGCCAACTACCTTGTAGTTGCCAAGCAAAAACTCATGCCTCCTGGACAACCTACTCCTTCACAGATTCCACCATTGCCATGCCATCATCGCTGCAGAGAGCCACCTATGCTGAGTTGTCATAGCTTATATCGCCAAAAGTTGTCACCGCTCTACCGAGCCACCAAAGCTTATCTCACCGGAGGACCACCGCTACTACATCGTCATCATTGCAAACCACAGCAACCGCCAAGCAGCCATAGCTTATCTTGCCGAAGAGTCGTTGCCACAACGGCATTGTCTCTGCAAGACATGACCTCCGCCGAGCTGCCATCAAAGCCTATTTTGTCAGGGATCCGCCGCCTCCACGCCATCGACACTGGCCTAACACCACCTCCCCCACCCCTCTCGGTGCCGCTATTGCGCTCAACATTGCTCATAGCACGCCACCGAGCCGAGCAATCAACATCCGCCACCCACTGAGCCACCACCAGACACACATAACTATATCCCTGACTGAATCACAATCGATGAATCGAGCAAGAGGCATGCTCAATTCTGAAGGTCTGATTAGTTCAACACAAATCAGTTTGTATTTGATTACATTGCTACGTGATTCGAAAGCGTTACATATGTTTTTTTTTCGTGGGCTGGTCGGCGGTATTTGAACATGGAGTTTTTGAAAGATGACAAGTGATTTTAAATGAAAGACATTGCTGGTGATTGCTGGACCTAAATTATCAAGGTCCTGTCACTGGTGGAGAAACCATCTTTCGTCGGTCGGCCGATTTCCACAATAGTCCCGGATGCAATAAAAACCAGGGCTAAAGATGATCTTTAGTCCTGGTTCAAAAGGGAAACGGGCATATTTGATCTTTAGTCCCGGTTTGTGTTACCAACCGGGACTAAAGATCATCTTTAGTCCCGGTTCGAATGCTGTCAGGACCTATCAGACCCCCCCGGGATCTTTAGTCCCGGTTGGTATCCCGGTGATCTTTAGCCCCGGTTGGTGTTACCAACCGGGACTAAAGATCTTAATACCAACCGGGACTAATGATCCCGGTGATCTTTAGCCCCGGTTGGTGCTACCAACCGGGACTAAAGTCCCACCCCTATATATATGTCTTCTTCCTCCTCCAGCTGCCCGAGCAAGCTTCAAAATTACTTCAAAAAAGAGGGGAGGTCATGCCAAAATTTCTATTGAATTTATTTTGGTGATTACATACAAATCGGAGGTGCCTAAAAGGTTTGCAACTTCATCCTCCAATGTTTTTTTTTGTCATACTACATTTGCACCTATATTTTGCACACTTTTTTTTGTCTCCAAAATTTAGTTGTAAGTTGATGAGAGAGAAAATGTGTGTGGGGAAGAAAGAATATATAGAAATTTAGTTCATTTGCTAAACAAGGTTTTATAAAATAGTTGAGAAGGAAAACTCTAGTGAAAGTTAATCTTAAATAATAGAAAACAAACTAAAATGAAAATTAAAAGAAGTAAAACACATTAAAATTAGTTTAAAACTTTACAAATAGTTTTTAAGAATTATTTGGTGTAATATTTTATGATTTTTGTATGAATAAAGATATCTTATAATTATTGTATGACTCTCATTATTGTAAGAATAATTATTTGTGTGCGGTTTTTTTGACTCATGTAGATGGATCGGCAATGGATGTACGCTGACCGGCGGTCCAAAGAGTTTATTAACGGCGTGCACTATTTTTTGAGAGTGGCCGAAGCTAACAGGCAAAGGGGTTTTATTTGTTGTCCATGCAATAAGTGTAAGAATCAGAAGGAGTATTCTGCATCCAGGACTATTCATTTCCACTTGTTTGAGTCGGGGTTCATGCCAAGCTATAATTGTTGGACATCCCACGGAGAGCAAGGTGTTGAAATGGAAGAAGATGAAGTGGAAGACGACAATATTCCGGACTTTGCTCAGTATGTTGGATTTGAAGGAAATCAAACGGGCGAGGAGGAAATAGCTGCTGATGGTAACGACGTTGCGGATGATCTTGGTCAGATGTTGCAGGACGCCAGGGAGGACTGGGAAAGTGAAAAGGAGGCCCATAAATTGGACAAGATGTTGGAGGACCACAGAACTTCGTTGTACCCAGGTTGCGAGCAGGGGCACAAAAAGTTGGATACCACTCTGGAGTTGTTGCAATGGAAGGCAAAAAATGGGGTTAGTGACAAGGCATTTGGCGATTTATTGAAACTCGTCAAGAACATTCTTCCGGGGGGAAACAAATTGCCCGAGACAACGTACGAGGCTAAGAAGATAGTCTGCCCGTTAGGACTGGAAGTTCATAAGATTCACGCATGTCCGAACGATTGTATCCTATATCGCGGTGAGGAG